TTTGCTCACTCGCATCGCAATGTTTTCTACACAGGGTTAAAGCTCCCCCCTTGGGTAAAAATCAGTTTTATTTTTCATTACATTCGGTTCTCCTTAGAAAAATTTGGCACTTAATATTTTAGTCTATAAGCCATTTTTTTAAACAGTGGGTCAAAAAGGCCTGTTCTTCTTCGAGTTGATGGGTTAAACTTTTGGAAAAAAGTAGACCAACCTTGTTTTCAATATGGAATCCGCAAAAAATCGTAAGAACTCCGTAATTTAACATAACGGTTGATAAAGATATTGCAAAAGTTTATTGATAACGACATAAATTACCCCAATAACTTAACTTAAAATGTTTTAAGTTTCTTTAAATTTAAATAATACATACGGATCTGTAGAGAACATAGAGAGCCATGTGTGTATGTATGTATATTAGACTGCATCACTCCCCATACAAAAAAAAAAATCGGTACTATTTTTCCATTATATTCTAAGACGACCACCCAAATATTTCGGAAAAATATTAAGATTTAAGTGAGCTGGACCGATTTGAAAATACCTCCAAAAATCGAGTTTTTTATGAATAAAAATAGTTTCTTAAAGATTTCTTTTGAAAAAATCCCCTCAAATGATAAAACGGTTTAAGCTTAAAATATTTGCATAAAAATATTTAAAAAAAATTAAAAAAAAATTTTGAACGGAATCGTAATGATGAGATTTTTGATGCTGTTTTTTAACTTTTTTCAAAGATTGGTATAGGAAAAACTTGAATAACTGAACCTAAACTCTTCCGATTTAGACTTAAGAGGTGTCATTGGAAAGGTATTTTCTCACCCTTTTTATTTCTTTGCTAATAAACTCATTCAAAGGATGGAAGAGAAAGGTAGGATGAACGAACGTCATTCAAAGTTGAATTAAGATGTGTTGGTATTCGAAAAAACAAGATGGGGCACGAATGACGTTTTTTTTTTGGCCAGAAAATACCTTTCTACTGAGATCCCATAAGTCTAAATCTGAACATTTTTGGCCCAGTTATTCAAGTTTTTCGTAAACCAGTCTTTGAAAAAAGTAAAAAAACAGCATCAAAAAGCTCATTCTTACGATTCCGTTGAAAAGATTTTTAAATATTTTTATGCAGATTTTTTAAGCTTAATCTAATTTGGGACTTTTTTCAAAAAGTTCTTTAAGAAACTATTTTTATTCATAAAAAACTTCATTTTTGGAGGTATTTTCAAATCGGTCCAGCTCGCTTAAATCTTAATATTTTTCCGAAATATTTTGGTGGACGTCTTAAAATATAATAAGTTTTGTAATCCCGGTGGAAACCCCGCAACTTTTTTTGGTGATGCAGNGTGGAAAACCCGCAACTTTTTTTGGTGATGCAGTCTAATGTATATAGTACCTCAGACTTTCTTCTGTGCGCCCATCCATCAGCGCCAGACACTCAACATTTTAATTCAAGTAGGAAGTAATGTAATTTAAATTTAAAACTAATTCAATGAATGAATTAAATAGAATTATAATCTGAATTGGCATGGTGAATGCCTAACGCTGACGAGATGACATGATACGATTAGTAGCCTCATGGCTCTTTAGAATCTGCCGTATGGGCAATAGCGCCGGCGTTTCCAGACGCGCTGGCCTCGCCGTCGCCGCTGATTCTTTTTCAAGTTGATCACGCCGCCGCCGGAAAGCCTGTCGGTGTAAACCTCTACGAGGAGTAACCTTCGACAGTCTGCTCTCCTTCTCTGCGCACACAACCGCAATTGTCAACGAAGTACCGAGCCGTAACAAGGTCCTCAACTCGCTAGCCGGCAGTATTTGGGGCAAAGACAAAGAAACGTTGCTGGCAACATACAAGGCAATTGGCCGGCCGGTTCTAAATTACGCAGCACCCAAGTGGTCGCCGGGGACTAGTAGTACGCAGTGGATGAAGCTGCCAAACATAGCACTTTGGACAGCGCCTGGATGTCTTCTGATGTCGCCAGAACACCACCTGTATGACGAGGCGAAAATGCTCCCCAGCAAGCAATTCCTAGTAGGGCGCCATAGGCGTGGACACCCGAACAGACACTTGCTTGCAGAGGAGCCTTCGCCAAGCCACATCAGAAGGCAGATGCTAGATAAAGCAACCTTTGGACCCGTCAGCTTACCGACAGACCCTGATCGGCATTCACAGGGAGTCAGTCTCGAGTTATGTAGACTCCAGACTAGTGAATGCCGTTCTAGGCGCACAATCATCGGACATCGACGAGACGGAGCTAAGTCTGCCTCGCGAGACTAGAACCACAGTAGTCCAACTTCGCTCTGGCTACTGCAGCTGGTTAAATTCATACCTGAGCAGATTAGACGCAGATGTGCCAAATGAGTCCAGCTCAGTTACTGTTGCCATTTCACTTCTGAACTCGTTGTGCTTCTGATCAACTGAACAGTTGCGTTTTAGATGATCGTAATATTTTTCTGATCATTTGAGACAACATGTTGGTGTATACCTTTGATAGTTGAATTTGACAGCTAAGTTATCAAGCGGTTCAGAAGACGCATAACGATCACTGATTTTGCAGCAACGGCTGAGTTCAACTGCCCCTTCTGAACCTACCCAATTTTTGCTTTTCATGAAATTTCATCATCGTAAGTACTTTGGTTGTCGATATATTTACATTTTTATTGCTTGGTAGTACATTTGTACCACCTCTATACATAAGAGTTAATGAAATGTTGAAAAGGTTGGCCTTTTTCAACCTTTTTGTTTTTGGTCATTTAGCTTTTTTATTTGGCCGATCTAGCTTTTTTTATTTTTAAAGTCCTGGCAGCACTACAAATAAGCGCAAGACGTTGCCATTTTTAGGTTTATTTTCATTTTAAATAGCTTCTCATTGTCTTTTACCACGCTTTTATCATTTCATAATCTTGTTATTTATAAACAAGACGTTGGCATTTTTAGCTTTATTTTCTTTTTTGATGATCATGTTATTGCCATTTTATAACCAGGCAATATTAAAAAAGAAGTATATAGTATTATATTTCCATTATTTATCACCATTGAAATACAAACACATTTTGACAGTTGCTGTTGCTGAACGGTGTTACTTGCGGCCGGACAAAGTACTAATATCCTGGCTAGGCAATTTTTAGCGACAGAGAATCGTAGTTTTTGGAGATCGCTAAAAATTTGGATAAAATTTTAGGTTTAGCATTTTAGCGATAGCGAAAGTTGGAATCCGGCTTCTGGCAACTATCTTGAAAGCTCTTTACTGTCTTTCGAAAGACAAATTGAAAGATCGTTTCAGCAATAAGTTTTTTAAAAATTTAATTTAATTAAATAAGTATACATACATATTTCTTTTTAAAACAATAAAAACTAATAAAAAAGTAAATTAAATTTAGAAAGAGAAAAAATATTAAAATAAAAATAAGGCAGAAATAAATAAAAATATTTTTTTAATTAAATGAAATTAGAAAAAATATTTTTTCTTAATGAAAAAATAAAAAAAAGTATTTTTGTTTTTAAAATAATAAAATCTAAATATTAAAAGAAAATTAGATTAACAAAAGGAAAATAAATTAAATTAAAAAAGGAAAAATTAATTAAGTTCCTAAAAATTAAATGACATAAAAATATATTTTTTTCTTATAAAAAATGCAATACAAAAACTAAAAGAAATTAAAAAAAAAATCCAAAAAGAAAAACAACGCTACTGTTTCAGGATTCGAACTCGGATCTCTCGAATTACACGCCAGTGCTCTGCTCACTCGGCCATTGCGACTGCTGGAACGCCGCTAGCTAAATTATATACAAGTGCTTTCTCTCAAAATAACTTCACCACGAATCGGGAGATGCTTTTTTCTAAGACCTGTGCTTGAATAACAAAAATCTCTCGAACCACATATCTTGTCTTCTGTTTTTACTTTGTCTTACGAAAGAATTTTTTCTATCTTAGTCAGAATTGCCCTGTAAAAGCAGTGATGTATCAGGGTTTTATACTTAATTTATGTTATGAATTTATTATACTGGACGATTTGTATTGGGGATCACCATGTTAATGTGACTTACCAATATTTAAAATTGTTTCGTTGGATCAACTTATTTAGATCAGAACCGATGTAGGAATTAAAATATGGGCCATTAGTATATTATATTTCTTAAAGAATTGAATAACTTAACTTATTTTACAGTGCTCGGAAGAAAAGAAATGCCACCCAAAGCTTCAATCACCTAACGATTAAAGGCGTTACCACACCATCAGCAACTAAAACAACAATCAACAACTTCTAAATTCTTACCTGGGCAGGTTTGATGCAGATGTGCCCAACCAGTGTCCGGCATATGGAGAGTCCCGTCACAACTGGAGACATGCCCCAAACCGGACTCAAATAACACCCCAGCTCTTATTGACTAACACTTACTGGGTCTCCCGTTAGTTGAGCTTGACGACAACGATTGAGGGACAAGCCGTTCTAGGCAGGGTTGAGTAGTCGCTACAACAACAACAACAATCAGCAACCAAAACTACAATCAACCACTACAACAATCCAAAGATGGTCGGTTCTAGGTTAAAAGATTGGCTCGGAGCACACACTCAGGCCAAGGACCATCACCAAAGCAGCAAACTTAAAGGAAACGGAACTGCCGTTAGAGACCGGATGCACCGTTCAGGGTGGTGCCACCGTTTCAACAGCTACCCCTCTCGGCTAAACACACAAGTGGCAAACACCTGCCGCGCATGTGGGCAAGGTCCCCACAACACCCAGCATCTCTTCATATGCTCCTGACAGAACCTGGGGGTTGAGCACTGCTGCTACAAAAACATCAACATCAACCGCTACAACAGCAATCAACAATTAAAACAACAATCTACAACTAAAACTACAATCAACAACTAAAACTGCAATCAACAACTAAAACTACAATCAACAAATAAACCTACAATCAACAAATAAACCTACAATCAGCAATTAAAACTACAATCAACAACTGAAACTACAATCAACCATTAAAACTGCAATCAACAACTGAAACTACAATCAACAACTAAAACTACAATCAACAACTAAAACTACAATCAACAAATAAACCTACAATCAACAAATAAACCTACAATCAGCAATTAAAACTACAATCAACAACTGAAACTACAATCAACCATTAAAACTGCAATCAACATTCATTGAACTCCAACAACTCCCACATAATTCGTTGCATTCAAATTCTTACCAAAATATGGTTGTGTTGTATGTGTATTTTATCACATTCATATCTTATGGTGATTTCATTTCTAGGTCGCCTTTTGATTGCCCCTTTCTCTTTTCGTGTTCGATTCTAAACTGAAGGCAGAGGGTGAGAAAATTTTGTGTTCGTTTCTTAAGATGTCACACTCTTGTAAGCCAAAAAAGGCATATTCTCTGCCCTTCGAAGCTTTGTCAGACGTGAGCTAGACAAGGACAAGAAGGCAAAAACATGCCCTTTTACCGGGTTGAGTGAAATGCCAAACACATTGTGCACCGGGGAAAGACAACATTTTTTGAAAGAAACGAAGTCACCATTAGTTTCCCATTTCTCGCCATCATTAAAGCTACATATCATCGTTTATAGTACAAAACAGCTATCAAGATAATGCAAAACCGCGTATGTGAGGTTGCATAAATAATTTTCTAGAGAGTTAAAACACTCATATTCAAATGGTTCTCTTTTTTTATAAAGCAATCGCATTGCTAGCTAGTATATTTCATGACGAATGGATAAGACTTGAGCCAAGAGCTGGTGTGAGCAAATTCAATTTTTGGAAAAAAATGTCAGTTCCGCGGTTTTGCAGAACGATACGCGGTTTTGTACTTTAAACGACGATATGTACACACCTGCCATGATTCAATAATAAAAGGTTTGCTCAGAAAACAGTTTTCTAACTCCCTCTTGACAAAATCGGCACGGTGTATGGGTTCGTGTGTGTGTGCAAATCATTTGTAAGGGAGTTAAGGGAGTATCAAAACTAATGTCACTAGTGAGCAAACCTTTAATTACTCAGTCATGCATACCTGCCACGCCACATAATGACGCCTATGTATCTGCACCAGGTATAACATGGAAATCAATATGAGTGTGTTCGAGACGGCAGTGTTACTTTTTATGGAGGAACATCAGGTTCTTCGTGGAAATTTGGGCGGATCTGCTTTCATCACGTGTTCTAGGAATCAAAGTTTGACAATGCGTCGCTCGTCACTAGCAAATCAAATACCATATACGAATCTTTTACTGCGCGATTTCTGCAGCATTTCAGTAGATTTCCAGTTGAGCATCAGCAACAGATCATCAAGAAATCAACAAGGTTCCAATATTGCGGTAAATATTACGTTGCTCAAATATATCCTATTTTTTACCACCTGTGGAGATCAACAATCAACTTAAACTCTATAGACAATGTAAATAAACACAAGAAAGGAAAATAACCAAGCTAAGAGAAAGTAAATAAATAGAAGTCAAACTTGATATGCGAAGTGAATAATAAAAATAACTATAAAGTTTGCTTGTAACTGTCTGCATTATTTATTTTAAAAATCTAGCTTTTTGTTTAACTTGTTATACAACTGAAATCAATATCTTATTGAGCAATGTAAACAAAGTCGGCACCTGTGGTGCTGTTCTCTAAATTTTCTACCGTCCGACAAATGTTGTCGCTGTTTGCGACAATCATCGCTTGCGTTTGCGACAAGCGTATTGAGTAACTATGTATATCGTAGCGATAAAATTCGTTTAGTTCTTTTTCCGACAATTGTCGATATACATATGTATGTATTATTATTATTTAGATCTTATCTTTATCGTTATATCTTTCATAAATTTGGCAATTTTTTCAATATTAGCTAAGCTGTGGGTAGCTAGGACGTCGTTTATATTCTCTGTGTTAAATATTGATTTTTTGTGTTGTAGTGTTTTGGGAATTGCTGAGGATGTGGTCTAATGTTTGGTTTGTGTTACAGGTGATGCAAATTGGTGGATTTTTGTTTTTTAAGATGTATTCATGGGTTTGTGTGGTGTGCCCGAGACGGAATCGTGTAAAGATTCTAGTTCTAGAGAATGAATTGAAATATGTATTTTTCTACTTTTCCTCTCAACAGCTTATTTTCAAGCAAAATGAAAATTTGCGTAGTTGCAAGTTTTTTCTCGTTTTTCTGAAAATATTTTTCTTCCTCTCAATATGACTCCCAGTTTTGTGTTTACGCTCTCGCTGCTGGTACTTACTGGAAGCGGTGTTGAATAAACCAAACTTTCTGATTTGAAATACTCGTAAAATGCAAAGCTTTCGGGAAACGCCCATTATCTTAGTGGAAAGTTTACACTTATCTCACTCTGCAGAGAAGTGATAAGACAGCTCGGAAACTGAAGCCTATTATTCCTCTTCAGAGGATGTCGGGACGTTTTAGTGCGCGTCAGGGTACTGAGTCATGTTTTTATCAATCGTTTTCTTGAGCATGCCGTGTAGTGTTATCTACGTTTACTTTGTAGCCTCGATTTGGATGCCATTGTCTACAGCTTGTGTTTATTTGAGGATGTTATGTGGCGATCACATGCGCTCTATATGCAAAGCGATGGCCTATCGTGTTGGGTAATTGGTTGAGTTCTTGTTGCGGATGTTCATTTACGCTTTGGGTATGACCACCATTTGTTTTGGCAGAATCTATAGCTCGATATACTGTTTTTTTCTGGTCATTTAGAATAGCCTTTAGTTGCGTTGTTATTATTCATAAGCAACATGTGGTTTTAAAACAGGTCTTATCGCGTTCCCTAGAAAACTCGTAAAACTTGTCGCAAAGTTGCGATATCGATCCGAAATTTATCGTTAACTGGTTACAGAATAGCACCACTGAGTGGAAGATCGACCTATCTCGGCAACCAGCTCGAAAACGCCCTATCTCAGAAAAGTGTTCAACAACGCCCTACCTCAGAATTATATAGCCCTATTTCAGAATTTTATTAAAAAACACCCTATTTCAGAATTTGGTTGAAGAATGCCCTACCTCAGAATTTAGTTCAAAAATGTTCTATCTCAAGCGAAAACATATTGAAAATTAGCTGAGATCGGGAGTTTTTGAATCGGCAGCTGAGGTAGGTAGTTCTTCAACCAAACTCTGAGATAGGGTGCTTTTCAATCAAATTCTGAAATAGGGCGTTCTTCAATCAAATTCTGAAGTAGGCCGTTCTTGAAAAGTACCGCCTAGCGATATAGGTCGATCTTCCACTTAGGTGTCGAAATTAAACGTTGCTTAAATTTATGAAAAAACTCTTGATTGCTCACATATCTTAATATATCACTCGCTGTTCTTTTCAATTAAATACTTTATGCTTGAATCAGAAATACATTTTGCAATGCATGAAAGTAAATTTTTAAGAAATTTACAGATGGCCAAGTAAACTAAAACTTGAGAAGCTTAAACTGGAAATTTGTTATATAAATACACTAGCGTTATTTACAAATGTCTAATATAAATATTCATCGTGTTCACAGGTGAAGGTTCAAAGCCGTTGTTTCAACGAGATGATATAGTTGTAAACCCGAAGAACGTTAGTGATTCCGCGGAGGATCATACAAAAAAACAACTGGTTAGTGGAAGTAACATTTCTGAAGATCTTTCTAAACATTGTCGAAAAGAACATCGCAACTCCAGAGTAGGTTATAATTTTAACAAAGATATATATGTACATGTACATAAATAACTATCAAGGATTGTGAATTAAATTGCGGAAAGTTTGAGCTCAAGAAATCTTTTAACCTATTTTTTATTTTTATTTATTTTTTGTGATTTCTTGGACTTGTATTTATAATACTTAACACTAAATTATATAAATAATTATTTTTTACACAAAGGGTTCCAGAAGTCCGGAGCGAATTCAGAAATATAAGAACCGAAACAATGAGTGTGCAACTAGTGGCAATACAAGTGCTTCGCGACACACTAAAGTAGATAAACCTGCTTTTGATAGTCTCGGCCCAACAAGAAAACGTACAGCTCGCCGCGACTCACCACCAACATATAGTCATCGACGAAGGACACCTGAAAAACTTCCATACTTCATAGATGAGGTAAGGGAACGAGATCGACTACGACGAAAATATGGAACTAAGCCCGAAAAACCATTGTCATCGCTTCCCTCGTCAAGGTCGCGCCGTAGTCGTAGTCGTCCGACATCACGTTCTCGTTCTCGTTCTCTAGACTCTGCGCAATTTAAAAACCGTTCAAAAAGCCTCCGCACACAGCATCGTTCAATTTCAAGAGATCGTTATTTGGGCGAATCTAGTCGAAGAGATCGGACACACTCGGATAAGACAAAAGACAAGACACACTCACGCTATCGACATAGATCGGAAGACCGAGGCAAAAGTGACCGCCGGCGTAGAAGTTCGCGGTCACCTTCAAAATCGCGTAGTCGTTCCCGTGATCCTTCAACACGATCGCGTAGGCAGAGCAGTCATAATGAACGGCGTAGGCATAGATATAACGACCAGGATGGGCCGTCGATTACGATGAATCAAAGAAGCTTACTACATCCGCAAATCATACCCATTCCAATACCAGTGCCAGCGGATTTTATGAATTATTCATATGTAAGTAATTAATGTTAACTGACATTCTTTTTGCCAATTATTATGTAGCAAAAAAATAGTTTTAATTCCTTAGAGGATGGAATTATGGATAATATGTATGATTCGAGACTGGTGTTGTTGTTCTTACAACGTGCGAATTCCTATCTGTCTTTCTACAGAGAGTATTTTTGGTTTTGAGCTAGCAATAAACAGGAATATAACCCTCGGTGACACGTGGTGTGAAAAAGGGGGGATGCCAGATATGAATGCGCTAAATATGACAAATAATAATAATAATAGATTGGCGCTTACACATATGTTAGTGTTTGGCCGAGCTTCTCCTCCGACTTGTGGCGTGCGCCTTGTTATTGTCACACAAAGCGGAGGACCTGCAGTTTTACGCCGACTCCGAACGGCAATTGGATTTTTACGAGAAGCTGTTTTTCGTGGCAGAAATACACTCGGAAGTTTGCCATTGCCTGCCGAAGGACGACCGCTGTTGTGAAAAAACATTTTTTCTATATTTTTGCGATGTTGCTTTGACCAGGGTTTGAACCCAGGCGTTGCGGAGTGGAAGCGCGCACTGCTTACCACTACACCACAGCGGCGCTAAATATGAATATGCCTAAATGTCTATACAATTTGCTTTTTTACTTGGGTATGAAGTGTACGTATTGACACTCTTTTTCTAGAACCCGAATTTTCGTAATTCGCAATTTGTAGCTACGTTACGAAAAATCGATATGCTGCAACCCTTGCGGAAACCTGTGCAGCATCGCCAGCTGTCAGTTGTGGAAAGGAATTAAAAAAAAAACATTCATCAAGTGCTTATTTATAGTAAATTTTTTTAATTTTACATATTTTGAAGGCAACGATGGATTCTATTGCATTTGCAATTATAGCAGCGAAGTAAGGGCGCGCAGGAAATGAATTCACAAAGATATGCGGAGCTGTGGGGCATAGTAACCATGGACGCATCCATGCAGTTTCTGGTTGAATTGTTGAGCCACAAGCCATAACTCCTATGCCTGTAGAACTAGTTCTCAATCCAGTTAATGCAATAACAGATTGTTCCAAGCCATTGAAAACGGGCACTTTGTTAGATCCATCACCTGTTGCGCTTGCTTCTGCCTTCGGCTGCGCTTAGGGATTATAACCCTTACTAACTAGAATTCTCCGTTCTGTGTTACCGGATAAGGTAATTCACGGGGTTTTGGAAGTAAAAGAGACTGATGGTTTGTATTTTGACGTTTTGGAATGCAGCCACATTCTTTTTTGTGAGTTCATATAAAGCAGGGGATAAAAATATACGTATGTGCGAAAGGCAAATTTATCTGTTTAAAAGAACACCACTAATATTTCCTTCAAACACATCGATTTACATTTTCTTGCTTAATTTTTATCTCGCTTTCGACGCGAAATTGTTTCGTACAAAATTAGGTAAAAATGCTTTAAATTTCTTACTCGTTCGTTTTTAGGCATGCAATTGCTACGAATTTCGAAAGTTCGAAAATACGATTCGGGTTGCAGCATACCATTTCTACGATTCATAGCGAAATCCGAATATGAAAGTGGTGCAAATTAGAGGTGTGAGCCTTCTAAGAAATTACAAATGAATTACGCAAATAAAATATAAAAGGTGATCCACATAGACTTTTTTTAATTTTAAATAAAACACTTAGAACTGGACAGAACCGGAAAGATACTTTTCTGACATTTACTTTTTTAAAATAGGGCAACCCAAAATATGTTTGGGCATGTTTTTTGGCAGGCATGTTAGCAACACGCTGATGAAATGCTTAAACGTTTTTCCAAAAAATATATATGGAGTTATATTTCTTATGGCATATTTTGCAATAAATGCATATTTCAGCATATTTTGCAGTAAATGAATATTTTCGGATACTTTGCGTTGCGTTGTTACGGTTAGAACTAATAATGAA